AAAAAAAACTGAGATGGTCCCAGCCTTCAATGAATAAGCTGCTTAATGAGAATGACAGGCAATAAGCAAGTAGTAATAATTATGAATGTGACTGGTGTAACAAGAGGCAGAAATATAGTAGAATAAATAGCACTGGAAATGTATCTTGATTTGGGGGTCAAGGCTTCCTGGAGAAAGGAAAATTTTAAACGCTTATACTTGAAGAATGCCTAAGTGAAACAATTAGCATTGGGTTAGGTGTGTCTAAGGCCTGGAGGTAAGGAAGATCATTAAGGATAAGCTACAAACTGAAAAGAGTCCAGAATGGCTGGGGCATGGAGCCCCAATCAGAGAGCAGCGAATAATGAGGCTTTAGAAGTAGATAGGAGTTAGACATGGAGGGCCATGTAAGCTGTGTCAAAGAGATCTGATTTTATCTAAGGCCTGCAGGAAGAAATTGTTGCCTTAGGTAGTGAATGTTTGTGATTATATCTATGTTTTACAAGATGTCTCTGGATAACAGCATGGAGAAGATTGGAGAAGAACAAGATGGAAGTGTTGATACTGGCTTATAGGCCCTGACAGTGGTCCTGAGGGGAGATAGTAGCATGGCCTGGATTAGGGAAATGGTCGTGGTAATGTAAATTTGTGGACAGTTTGAGGGATAATGAAACTATGGAAGCAATGTGTCTTGGTGATTAACTGTGTGGGTATGGGTATTTTTTGGGTGGGATCCATGGAGAAAAAAGGAAGATTAAGTTTGTAGCTTGATAAATTGGGTAGAAGATAATGATATTTACCAAATATTACAGAATTACTGACAGATTCCAATAAGAATGAATTCTATTTTTTTGTTATGGTATTACATGACACAAAATATGGAAGTAAGTAAATTCAAAATATGTATCACTGTTTTATAATCCCCTAAATATTCTCAGGTACAATGCCCTGCTTCAGGAACATTACTTCTACAAGATTTATCTTGAAGAAAAGTGTTCACAGAACACTTTATATAAATTAAAATCACTTTTGTTGAACTTTTCAGTTAATTGCAGAGTGTTGTATTCTTGCAATGAGGTAAAAGAACAATAACAAACACACTGTTAACATAGTTCAAATTATGTTAGATTACATTTTCCTATAAATGAACCACGAGACTTTCAGTGTCTGCTCTGTTCTTGTTCCTGGCATATTTCCTTTGCTATCTCTATCTCCATTTCCTTTTCTATCTAGCTGGGGCAGGCTCATTCTTCTTGCTGTTCTCCTTGCTCTTTTCTCCAGAGAGCTCACCTGTACTCTTTCAACATCATCATCATTACCTCCTGGATGCCATTCTTTTTTCTTCTTCCAAGTTAATGACTTTGCATGCATTCAGCGCCTTCATGGCTTTTCCAGCAGGAGGTTGTTTTGTACCACAAATCACGCAACAGATCTAAAGCAGAACCCAATCTCTGCTGCATTCTGATCAATTTCCCTCCTGCGGCCTCTTTCACGGATTCCATAGATTCAGAACCTCACAGAGTTCTCAGACTCTTTCTCTTCTTACAGAATTAATGAAAACAGGTAACATGGGTTGAGTACTACTGAGTGACACTCTATGCTCAACATTTCAGAGGCATGATCTCACCCATCTTTCACATCAACACTATGCAGGCACTGCTGTGAATAATCCTATTTTACGGGTGAAGAAACCAAGGTTTAGAGTGGAAACATAACTTCTTAGAGTCACAGAGTTAATAAATTACAAAATAGGAACATGAAACTAGGTTTTCTTCAGACTCCCCAAAGCACTCAAGTATGTCCTTTTAACTATTCTGCTAAAAGGCCTCTTTACCACTTAACAGGTCAGTTATTGAGCTGTAATTACTGTTGTTTAGATATTTCAGGTCCAATAGTCTTCCCCATTTCCACCCCCTTAGTCCTGTTTCAGGTCTTGACACAGCATACAGAAATAAACGTAACAATTTCCTTGCTGACCTGCCTTACCCATGCATCCTTCTTCTTGATGCACTCAGCATATTAGTGCCTAAAGAATTATTTTAAATTATCACTTTTATTATTGATTTCTTAACTAATTTTTTAATCATTGTGTCCTATATAGGCTAAGCCTCAGACAACCTCCTAAGTCGTCTGCTCCGATTTCTAAGCATAGTCTTCATCTACAGGATTCCTTCTGCAAATTATTCCATGCTTTAGAGATTGTGAAAAATGGCAGAGTAGTGGTGTCCTCCTGGCTCTCTGCTCCCAGAGCGGAAAGTGAAGAAAGCGGACAACCACACGCCAGCGATCTGCACTTCCACAGGACCAGCTTCCCAAGCCTGCAGACACTCACCGGGAATCGGAGGGAGAAAACAATCTACAGCTGAAATCAAAGATGAATCTGATATTCTTCCGCAAAACCCTTGGAATTGGAAATATACAACAGGGAGGGAGAGAGGTGTGGCTTGAGTGGCTGCCAGCTGGCAGTGGCATCAGTCCTACCTGGCACCGAGAGACGCCCCCTCCTACACCAAGTTCCACACCCACGTAGGACCGGAAGTGTCTGAAGTTAGTGGGAAGCGGTAGCACCAGACAAAGCTGTGTGGAGAGGAGACTAAAGCAGGGAACATTTTAAATTCTCCTTAGGATGCAGCTGAGGCAGTTTCAGGTGAAGGAGGGTCCGAACCAGCCGTCACTCCCCTGCTTGGCAGAGAGCCCACTCTGGCATCTCCTTCAGGTCGCTTCCAGGTCCAGGGTGAGGGGAGTTTACATGAAAGGAGGCTTTGGCCTTGGATACAGTTGAGGTTTTGGCTGGTGCTGAGTAGACAGAGAGCGCAGAGCTAGGTTCCTTGATCCATCGGGACTCCCTGGGTTGGAGGAAGTCCCTCTGAGCCTCCAACACTGTTCCTCTCTCCCCAGCCCTGAGGTTTGACTTAGACTCGGTGTTTGGAAGGGGGTTGAGGAGGGAGTGGCGATAGGCACTGTTGCCCTGCCAGTCCGATATTGGACAGTCTGGTGTCTTGCTACGCAGACTACATGTACTCTATGCCCAGAAAGCAGCGCCCGCCACTACGAGCAAGAACTAGCTGTGAAGGAGCTTACTTTTCTAGATAGAGCCTGTAGAGAAATTTTCACCCCCACTCTCCTGTGACTTGGGACTGGACGCTCCATGCCAAAGGTTTCAAATCCATCTTAAGGCGGAGCTGAGAAAGAGACTCCTCCTATACCTGTCTCTTGTCTCTGGTTCTGTATTTAGGTGGAGATTGGTGGGTCCTGCTGCCCTGCCAGTCTGATATTGGACAGTCTATCACTACACAATCCACTTGCGCTCTGTGCCCAGAGAGCAGAGCCCACCTGGGGAAGGCTGTGAAGGAGGTGGCTTTTCCAGGCATAACTGGAAGAGACATTATCACCCACACCCTCCTGCAACTTGGGACTGGGCGCTTGGCACCAAAGGTTCTGACTCTACCTTGGGGCGGAGCTGAGAAAGAGGCTGTTCCCATTCCTACCATTTATCATGAATTCTGTGTTTAAAGGGGTAGAAGGTGGAGAGTGATGGTTCATGCAGCTACATCGCCAGATTGATCTTGGGTGGTCTCTCGCTGCACTAGCCGCCTGCGCTCTGTGTTCAGAGAGCAGAGCCAGTCTTGGCAAGGTGCAGTGGCAAAGGAGACTACTTTTCCAGATATAACCTGGGGCGCCACCAACACCCACACTCTCCTACGACTTGGGTCTGGGTGTTTCACACTATAGGGTCTAACTCCATTTTTGGGCAGTGTTGAGAAAGAGGCTGTTCAACCTGAAATCCGGGTTGCAAGACTGTCACCTCTGCTTCGCTTCCACCTTCCTGCTGGTGCTAGCCACAGAAAGGCAGCTCTAACAGCCAATCAGGACACCCTATCAAACTGAGTCCCCTCTCTACCTCTTTACTGTGACCTGTTAGCTGGTGCCTACAGCCAAAGGGGAAGCTCCACTCCCAGGAAAGACAGAGGGGTGAGGGAATCTGTTGTCTGGGCTGAGATTTGACGGGCCTGAAGGATACCCTTAGTGGTGAACAACCCACCAGGATTCTGTGTGGAAGGAACTAACCTCATCCTGGCAGGAGATAAGCCACATGGCAGGTCTCTGTTTGGCTTGGGACTCTCAGAGGCCTCAGTAAACAAAAGACAGAGTAATCTCAGAGCCTATCATAGTGCCTCCATATTCAACTTAGAGGTTGAGAGTGGTCTTGCGCTCAGAAGAGTTATCTAACCCCCGAATCTCTAAGCAAGGGGACTAAACCTATTAATCTTAATAGACATAAGGTGAAGACATTAGATCAAAGATTACCCAACTGACTCAAACTCCTCTAAGATGCTATAGGACCAGACCACATACTCCCACCCCTGTCATAGGTCAATCCTTAGGAATCCCAGATCTTTGCTCATTACCCAGTCCCAACATCTCCGGTCCTCGACAGTACATCCAGATGAGAAAGAACCAGTGAAAGATCACAGGAAACATGAAGGAGCAGAGAGGAAAGTCACCTCCAAAAGATAATACTCGACCTCTATCAACCAACACCAACTTACATGATATGATTAAACTGACAGGGGAAGAATTTTGAAAATGGATTGTCAGAAAACTCAAGGGAATTGAAGAGAAAATAGAATCACAACATAGAGAAAACACAAGAACAATTCAGGAAATGAATGAAAAAATTCTCCAAAGAAATTGAAATTATACAGAAGAACCAATCAGAACTTTTGGCAATGAAGGAAACAATCAGGGATCTCCATAATACAGTAGAAAGCATCAAGAACAGGATGGACCATGCAGAAGAAAGAATCTCAGAGCTCGAAGATTACGCCTATGCCCTAAACAAATCAGAGGAAGAAAGGGAACACAGAAACAAGAGCAAGACCAAAGCTTACAAGAAGTGTGGGATTACATAAAAAAGCCAAATCTCAGGGTGATCAGGATTCTGGAAAGGGAAGAGGAACAATTTCAAGGGATGGAAAACTTATTTCACGGAATACTCGAGGAAAATATAACAACAAAATATGCCTTCACTTTATGAAGGAATCGACTTCTATACTTCCATTATCCGTGCCTGATTTGAAGAATTGAATGGTGATCTGTTCCGTGGCACTCTGGACCCTGTAGAGAAAGCCCTTCGAGATGCCAAACTACACAAGTCACAAATTCATGACATTGTCCTGTTAGTGGTTCTACCTGCATCCCCAAGATTCAAAACCTTTTGCAAGACTTCTTCAATGGAAAAGAACTGAATAAGAGTATCAACCCTGATGAGACCGTTGCTTATGGTGCAGCTGTCCAGGTGGCCATCCTGTCTGTATACAAATCTGAGAACGTTCAAGATTTGCTTCTCCTGGATATCACTCCTCTTTCTCTTGGTATTGAAACCGCTGGTGGAGGTATGACTGTACTCATTAAGTGCAATACTACTATTCCTACAAAGCAGACATAGACCTTCACTACCTACTCTGACAACCAGCCTGGTGTGCTCATTCAGGTTTACGAAGGTGAACGTGCCATGACTAAAGATAACAACTTACTTGGCAAGTTTGAACTCACAGGCATACCTCCTGCCCCTCGAGGTGTTCCTCAAATTGAAGTCACTTTTGATATTGATGCCAATGGCATTCTCAATGTCTCTGCTGTGGACAAGAGCACAGGAAAGGAAAATAAGATTACCATCACTAATGACAAGGGTCGTTTGAGCAAGGAAGACATTGAACGTATGGTCCAGGAAGCTGAGAAATACAAAGCTGAAGATGAGAAGCAGAGGGACAAAGTGTCATCAAAAAATTCACTTGAATCCTATGCATTCAACATGAAAGCAGCTGTTGAAGATGAGAAACTTCAAGGCAAGATCAATGATGAGGACAAACAGAAGATTCTTGACAAGTGTAATGAAATTATCAACTGGTTTGATAAGAACCAGACTGCAGAGAAGGAAGAATTTGAACATTAGCAGAAGGTGCTGGAGAAAGTCTGCAACCCTATCATTACTAAGCTGTACCAGAGTGCAGGAGGCATGCTGGGAGGAATGCCAGGAGGAATGCCTGGGGCTTCCTAGGTGATGGAGCTCCTCCTTCTGGTGGTGCTTCCTCAGGTCACACCATTGAAGAGATTGATTAAGCCAACCCAAGCATAGATGCATCAGTGCTCCACATAGTAAAAACATTGAAGGATCTAAATTTGTAGCAAATTATGTGGCAGATTTAAAGTTAAGCTGCTATAGTAAATTACTGGGCATTCTCAATTCTTGAATATGGAACATGGGCACAGGGGAGGAAACAACATTGCACTTTATAAGCACTGTATTGTAAGTGGAAAATGCAATGTCTTAAATAAAACTGTATTTAAAATTGGCAAAACAAAACAAAAAAAACCCTTGATATCCAAATACAAGAAGCTCACAGAACTCCTAGGAGACTCAACATGAAAGGGCAATCACCTCATCAGATGGTCATTAGGCTGACCAAAGTAAACGTGAAAGAAGCAATACTCCGTTCAGCGAGGTGAAAACAACAATTAACCTATAAAGGAAAACGTATCAGACTAACAGCAGACTTCTCATCTGAAACCTTACAAGCCAGGAGGGATTGGGTGCCCATCCTTAACCTCCTAAAACAGAACAAAGCCCAACCTAGAATTCTTTATCTGGCAAAATTAAGTTTGATCTATGAGGGAGAAATAAAGTCCTTCTCAAACAAGCAATCACTGAAGGAATTTGCAAAGTCCAGACCAGCCCTACAGGAAGTTCTCAGACCTGCATTTCTAACTGAACAGGGCAATAGACACTCCTCAAAGTAAAATTGTCAAAGAATTAAAGTTTACATCTTGAACTACATGATGGCTCAAGGAGTAAGACAAAGCAACAATATGAATGGTAATCTTCCTACGATTTCAATCCTCTCAATAAATGTAAATGGCTTAAACCATCCTCTGAAGAGACATAGACTGGCAGAATGGATAAAAATCCACAAGCCTAGTATCTGCTGTCTATCAGAAACACATCTAATCCACAAAGATGCCTTTCAGCTGAAGGTCAAGGGATGGAAAATTATCATCCAGTCAAATGGAAGTCAAAAGAAAACTGAGGTAGCTATAATATTTACAGATAACATAAGCTTAAAAATAGCAAAATTAAAGGGAAGATCCAACAAGAAGATTTAACAATTTTTAATATCTATGCACCCAATATAGTATCACCCAATTACATAAAGCAAACCTTATCTAATCTAAACACCATGTTACACAATACTGCCATAGTAGCAGGAGACTTCAACACTCCACTGAATGATCTGGATAGATCCTCCAAACAGAAAATAAGCAAAGAAATAATGGACCTGAACAGAGCCCTTGATCAAAAAGGTCTGACAGATGTCTATAGAACATTCCATCCAAATAAAGTTGAATTTACATTCTTCTCAGCAGTCCATGGATCCTCCTCCAAAATTGATCACATCCTAGGTTAGAAATCAGATCTCAAAAAATTCAAGAAAATAGAAATTATACCTTGTATCTTTTCTGATCATAGTGGTATAAAATTACAGTTCAACTCCTATAGTAGCACTCAACATCTCACAAAATCATGGAAATTAAACAATCTATTATTGAAAAATTATTGAGTCAAGGAAGAAATTCAGAGAAAAATCAAGAGTTTCTTTGAACAAAATGATAATTGTAATACTTGTTACCAAAACCTGTGGGATACAGCGAAAGCTTACCTGAGAGGAAAACTAATAGCAATCAATGCTCACATCCAAAAAACAAAAAGATTAGATACTAACAACCTAATCAATAGGCTTAAAGAATTGGACAAAGAAGAGCAAACAATTTCCAATCATAGTAGAAGAAAAGAAATAACGAAGATCAAAGAAGAACTTAATGAAAGGGAGAACAAGAAAACTATACTAAAGATCAACAAAACCAGAAGCTGTTTTTTTGAAAAAATAAACAAAATTGATGGCCCTTTTGCTAGATTGACAAGGACTCAAAGGGAAAGGACTCTAATAAACTCAATAAGAAATGAAAAAGGAGAGATCACAACAGACACCACAGAAATGCAAAACATTATATTTGACTACTATAAAAAACCATATGCCCCAAAACTACAGAACCAAGATGAAATGGACAAATTCCTGGATTCATGCAACCTCCCTAAGTTCACCCAGGTGGTAACAGAATTACTGACCAGACCAATCTCAAGCTCAGAAATTGAAGCAGTAATTAATAACCTCCCCAAATGGAAAAGTCCCAGGCCAGATGGCTGCACTACAGAGTTCTAACAAATATACAAAGATGAACTCATCGTTATACTACAGAAACTATTCCACACCATTGAGAAAGATGGTATCCTTCCAAACTTATTCTACGAAGCCAATATCACCTTAATACCAAAGCCAGCAAAGGATGCAACAAAAAAAGAAAATTACAGACTGATATCCCTCATGAATATAGATGCAAAAATAAAATTCTAGCAAATAGAATTCAGCAGCACATCAGAAAAATAATTCACCATGATCAGGTGGGCTTTATTCCAGGGATGCAAGGCTGGTTCAACATACTGAAGTCTATAAATGCAATTCACTTCATAAAAAATATCAAGAACAAAGACCATATGATTCTGTCAATAGATGCAGTAAAAGCATTTGACAAAGTCCAACTCACCTTTATGATAAAAACTCTTAACAAAATAGGCATAGACGGCTCATACCTTAAATTTATCAAATCCATGTATGACAAACCCACTGCTAATATCATTCTAAAAAGGGAAAAATTGAAATCATTCCCTCATCAAATCGGAACTACACAAGAATGCCCACTATCTCCTCTTTTATTCAACATAGTGCTACAAGTCCTAGCAATAGCAATTAGGCAAGAGAGGGGTATTAAGGGCATCCAAGTGGGAACAGATGAGATTAAACTCTTGCTCTTTGCTGATGATATAATATTATACCTAGAAAACCCCATGGACTCATCTGAGAGGCTCTGAGATTTAATAAATGAATTTGGTGAAGTTTCAGTTATAAAATCAACATACACAAATCAGAAGCATTCACATATGCCAAGAACCATCAAGCAGAAACTGAAATAAAAAATGCAATAACCTTTACTATAGCCCAAAAGAAAATTAAATACATAGAAGTATACTTAACGAGAGATACGAAAGATTTATACAAGGGGAACTACTAAACACTAAAAAAAGAAATTGCAGATGATTTAAACAGATGGAAAAATCTACCTTGTTCATGGATCGGTAGAATCAATATTGTTAAAATGTCAATATTACCTAAAGTGATCTACAGAATAAATGTGATTCCCATCAAAATACCACCAGCATTCTTTACAGAGCTAGAAAAAATAATTATTCACTTTGTATGGAACCAGAAAAAAACCTTGTATACCCAAAGCAATCTTAAGTAAAATGAACAAACTAAGAAGCATCAGTCTTTCTGACTTCAAGCTGTACTATAAAGCAATAATAGTTAAATCAGCCTGGTATTGGCACAAGAACAGAAGCATTGATATCTGGAATAGATCTGAGATACCGGAGATGAAACCTTCAAAATATAGTAAACTAATCTTAGATAAAGCAGAAAAAAATATATAATGGGGAAAAAAAATCCCTCTTCAATAAATGGTTCTGGGGCCAGGCATGGTGGCTCATGCCTGTAATCCTAGCACTCTGGGAGGCCGAGGCGGGAGGATTGCTCGAGGTCAGGAGATCGAAACCAGCCTGAGCAAGAGTGAGACTCCATCTCTACTATAAATAGAAAGAAATTAATTGGCCAACTAATATATATTATATATAATAATATTAATACAAAAAATTTACTGGGCATGGTGGCACATGCCTATAGTCCCAGCTACTTGGGAGGCTGAGGCAGGAGGATTGCTTGAACCCAGGAGTTTGAGGTTGCTGTGTGCTAGGCTGACACCATGGCACTCACTCTAGCCTGGGCAACAAAGTGAGACTCTGTCTCAAAAAAAAAAAATAAAATGGTGCTGGGAAAACTGGTTAACTACATGCAGAAGATTGAACCAGGATCCCTACCTCTCATCTCTCACAAAAATTTACTCAAGATAGTTAACAGACTTAAACCTAAGGCATGAAACCTTAGGAATCCTAGAAGAAGATGTTGGGAAAATCCTATCAGACATTGGTCTAGGCAAAGAATTTTTGAGGAAGACCCCTAAGGCAATTGCCACAGCAGCAAAAATAAACAAATGTGATCTGATCAACTTAAAAAGTTTCTGCACAGCCAAGGAAACTATCATTAGAGCAAATAGACAACCCACAGAGTGGGAGAAAATATTTGCTCTCTACACTTCTGATAAAGGTCTAATAACAAGAATCTATCTAGAACTTAAAAGAATTAACAAGAGAAAAATCAAACAACCCCATCAAGAAATGGGCAATGGAAATGAACAGAAACTTCTCCAAAGAAGACAAAATAATGGGCTGCAAACATATAAAAAAATGTTCAACATCTCTAATCATCAGAGAAATGCAAATCAAAACCACAATGAGATACCAGCTAACCCCAATGAGAATGGCCTGTATCAAAAAATCCCAAAACAACAAATGCTGGCATGGATGTGGAGAGACAGGAACACTCTTACACTGCTGGTGGGACTGCAAATTAGTGCAACCTTTGTGGAAAAGAATTTATTTGTAAATGCCTCAAACAGCTAGATATAGAAATACCATTTGACCCAGCAATAACATTGTTGGGCGTCTATCCAAAAGAGCATAAGACATTCTATTATAAAGACATCTATACCCGAATGTTTATTGCAGCACAATTCACTATTGCAAGGTCATGGAAACAACCCAAGTTCCCATCAATTCAGGAGTGGATAATTAAAATGTGGTGTATGCTTACAATGGAATACTACTCAATTCTAAGAAATGACTGAGCTAGCGCCGTTTATGCTATCCTGGATTAAGTTTAAGCCTGTTATCCAAAGTGAGGAGACATAAGACCAGGAAAATGTGTTCCACATCTACTTGCCATCAAATTGGTACTGACTGATTAAAACTATGGTGCTCAAATGGTGGTAGTACTAACCAGGGATTCGGGAGGAGGGAGACCCACATCCTAGGGATGTGGCGAGCATTGGGGGGGGGGGAGGGAATGCCTCTAACCCTTCTTAGGGAGAGGCAAAGATATACAAGGTAACCAAAATGCCAAAAAAAGAAAGAAAGAAAAAAAGAAAAAAAAATTTATTGGGTGGTGGGCAGGTGGTGGGGGGAGGAGGAGAAGGGTGTATACTTACATAATGGGTGTGGTACACACCACCTGGGGGTTGGACACGCTTGAAGCTCTGGCACGGCAGTGGGGAAGGGGTGGCAGGGGCAATATAT